TACTGCTGGCGGTTCTCGACACACAGTGCCGGGAACGGACCAGCAAGAAGTTCCGCCGTTACCACCCAGCACTATACAATAATTGTATCCCAGGTGTCGTTCGGCGGGTTCACCAAGGTCAGCACTGAGCACTCGAAAGTGAAACTGAAATAGAATCCAGTGTATCCGCACGTTAAGACAGACAGTCAAACAGATAGAAACAACTATGAGGGAAAAGTAAAGACGCAGGACCTACCAGTGGCGCCCTCCAACCACCCGCCAATTAAAAGGCCAGGCAATGTGACATGCGGATAACTTTAGAACGACAGATGTACGTCACTGGCCGATTTTTATAGTAACAGCCATCTTGTTTGATGTCATTGAGGGATTCCCACTTTGTTGTCGTTCACGGAGGCAACAGGACCACAAAGCACTATTACAGTATTTTTAAAGCCTGTAGCTTACAGTGGCGTGGTCGTGGAGTGGTTAGTGCGCTTGTCTCCAAAGCAGAAAGTCCAGGTTCGAGCCTCGGTTCGGCCACATTATTTTTTTTTCGCCCCCTCCTGCCCACCCAAATGTAATGGGTATCTGACTTCAAGTTGGGGAAGTAAAAGACTAGTTTTTAAATAAAAAATTTGTAGGAAAATTATCAATTTTTAAAATGTTTTTTAATCCATCAAAGTCACGACATCACATGCTTTTTCAGTTATCTTTTTTTTTAAATTCTTTTTTTTTTAAAATTAGTCCTTTACTTCCCAACTCGAAGTCAGGTACCCATTGCAGGTGGGTGGAGCCAAACCGAGGCTCGAACCTGGACTTTCTGCTTTGGAGACAAGCGCACTAACCACTCCGCCACCACGCCACTATAAGCTACAGGCTTTAACAATACTGCAATAGTGCTTAATTGCGGTCGTGTTGCCACCGTGAACGACAACAAAGCGGGAATCCCTCAAAGACGTCAAACAAGATGGCTGTTACTATAAATATCGGCCAATGGCGTACATCTGTCGTTCTAAAGTTATCTGCATGTGGCAATGAGTGAGTGGTCTCTGAAGGCCTGATCGCTGACAAGAATAGGCCTATGAATTAAAAGACCTCAGTAGGAACAACGGCAATCACACATTATATCACTAAAGCCTCGGTATACACTACAGTTTTACATAACATTTTAGAGGGGAAAGGGGCGAGGTAAATGTAGAAAAAGAAGACTAAATCTTATACTAAAAAAATCCCCAAGATGTCTCGAAATCACCAAAATGTGACTCCACTATTTTCCCCCGGCAGTCTTCATTTGTGAGGCATCGTTATGAAATCAAGCGCTCATCCAAATAACGAAATTTTTAAAAACTGTATTTTTCTGGAAGTTGAGCAATTAAAAAATAATTTTTTGGGGCAACTTGCCTTTCTTTTTCGGCAAAACGTCTTTAACATCCAAATATATAAAAGCACATTTTCTGTGTGAATTTTACTGGAAAAACGCAGATCAAAGGCATACAAAATATAAATTTGCAGTTTTCAAAGGCATTCAAGCTTCGGAAGTCACGAAACTTGGGCCGCCTTTTTTTCTTTATTCTTACCTCTGACACCAGGCGACCCCTACCTCCTCTAGATCTAATCACAAATATATCAACTTCTATTAAAGACAGGTATAGGTACTTTTTCATCAAAAGCAAGACAAATTAAAAAGATTTTAAAGACGAAACCGTACCAATAACTCCATAATCCCAAAAATTGACGAGCGCTTAATTCCATCGCATGGTGACATATCTGGATTACAAGTATCAGTTATTTTTCGCTGTGGCCGGGGATAGAAAGAAGGGTCACTATCTATGCTATTTCGACATCAAATTCCGTAACATTTAATACAAAACTTCCCTCATTTACAATCTACATTCGTTTGCTAGTACTTCAAGGGAAGGGTTGTATAGTGGAAGGTGTACAACTTATGTTATATTAATAGATCTATGTGATTTTAACAATTGGCAAACAGTAAACTGGCGATGATTCTCTCAGGCCCTAATAATCGACTCAGGTGCATTTAAGTGTTTCTTTCTCGTGTAATACTATCCTAAAGCACGAAAGATTTGATCATTCGCAATAAGTGAGGATTGTTCGAGAAGATTTAGTTGGCATAACCCTATAGAAGATTCTTTTCAGTTCAGACAAGTGAGCGTTTTGGCCTGCTGGTAGTTTTCTTGCAAATACAAAGAAGAAAAATATTTGGGATTAAATTTTCTTTTGGTTTACTGCA